GGTATATAATATTTCTGTGGAAAAATCTGCTGTCAATCTAACGAAAAGTCCTTTACAAGTGATGTATCATTTTCCATTTATAAATTTTAGAATGCTCTTTGTGCTGCAGTTTTGAAAATTTGACTATAATGTGTCATGGTGGCATTCTTTTCTGATCATGTCTATTTAGGGTTGTAATGATTTTCCTGTTGTCCTTGTTATTCTCCAAACTGAGGAAGTTTACTATTAGTTCATTGATCAGGTTTTCTTAAGGGGAAAAAAAAGAAAGGAAGGGAGGGAGGGATAGAGATGGAGAGAGAGAGAGAGAAAAGGAAGGAAGGAAGCAAGAAAGGAAGGAAGGAAGGAAGAAAAGAGAAAGAGAGAGAAAGAGAAAAAGAGAAAGAAAGATGGATTCATTTGGAAGGTGGTTGGGAGAGAGAGAAGGAGATTCTCCATCCAGTGGTTCACTAAATGGCCATAATGACCAGGACAGGGCAAACTGAAGAGCCACATGGGCAGCAGAAACTCAAGTGCTTGAGCCATTTTCCACTTGGGCCTGCTTCCCAGGCATGTTCCCAGGCAGTGATCTGAACTGGAAACAAAATAGCTGCATCTCAAACCAGTGCTCTGCAATGGGATCCCAGAATTGCAGGCGATGATCTAACCTGTTTCACTACAGCAAAAAAAAATCCAAAATGGGTTTTCTACGCCACTCTTTTTTTCCATTGCCTCACAAGTTTCCAAAATTCAAATACTCATTCACTTGATGGTATCTCACAGATCCCAAACACTGTTCCCACTCATTTTAATTGGGTGGGAAAAGGGATGCTGGCTTTGATAGTCCAAAAGTGTCTTCAAGATTAGATACTGTTTTTCTGTTTGATCTAGCCTATTTTTAAGGCTTTCCAGTTTGGTTTTCATTTGATTTACTGAGTTATCTACATCCAGTATTTGGCTCTTTTTCATTATCTCCATCTCTGCTACAGCTCAAAAATATGCACTGACTTCATAATTTCAACTAACTGTTTATCAGTTTTCTTATAATCCCTTTGAATAGCCTCATAATTCTTCTTTTGAATTCTCTGGCACTTCATAAATCTCCCTTTCTTCCTGGCCTGATACTAATACACTATTGTATTCCTTTTGGTCTTATTCATTTCTTGTGTTTCTTTATTGATTTTTACACATCTGGGGGATCAACTGCTTATATTACAGTCTGAGGATGATTTTTGTTGACTGAAAGTTTTTTCCTGAAGATACAACTTCGGATATTGGTTTGGTAAAGTTCTAGTTTTAGTTCCAATTGAACTCCACAGAATCATCTGTCTACATTTTTTTTCTTTTCTTTCTTTTTTTTTTTTTCTTTCTATACTGGGGATGTTCAATGTCCCCATGGCTCTGCGTAGTCACTGCGACCCCATCACATAGGTCTCCAGGCATCTCCCCAGGGAACGACTGGAGTCAGGAGCTTCCCAGGTGATGGCAATAGCCCTGTTGGCACTGCAGATGTACATGACACAAAAAACTCCCAGACAGTACCCAAGTCAGGAGTTGGAGTGCCAGTTCAAGTTGGTCCCTGGATTAGGAAGGTCTCAGACTCCCAATCACTGCCCAATTCCAGTGTCCCAAAGACAGTGCTACTGCTGGATGGAAGAGGCAGTTCCCACAGACACTGTCTGAGAATAGCTGGGTCTCCAAGAGTGATTTTGCCACTTGGCCCTCTCTGTGGGCTGCTCATTGAGCTGCTCATTGAGCTGGGTGGGATGCAGGAACCCCAGATTGGAGCCACAACTGAGCAGCAGGACACTGGCTCTCAAGGGTGACAGATACCTGGCAGGTTCTGCCTGAGCAACCACCCAAGGCCTATATAGAGAAGAGAAACTCTGAGACACACATCTTAGCAACAGAGCAATCTGCAAGGTCCAGTGTGGCAAAGGTCCAGACTGGACCTGGCACAATAGCTCAATGGCTAAATCCCCACCTTGTAAGCACCAGGATCCAATATGGGTACCAGTTCATGTCCAGCTGCTTCATCTAGCTCCCTGCTTGTGACCTGGGAAACCAGTAGAGGATTGCCCAAAGCCTTGGGATCCTACACCCATGTGGGAGACATGGAGGAAGCTCCTGGTTCCTGGCTTCGAATTGGCTTAGCCCTAGCAATTGTGGCCGTTTGGGGAGTAAGCCAGGGAATGGAGAATTTTTCTCTCCTTCTCTCTTCTCTCTGAAAATCTGAAAATCTGCCCTTCCAATCAAAATAAATAAATCTTTAAAAAGAAGAAGCCCTGAACTGATGTATTCTATGCTGCATTAGGCATGAGTTTTTCAGGCCAAAGCCCCAGTGAGCACAAAGGAAATGGCCAGAAAGCCCAGGTAGCTTGTCATGGTAAGGCCAACAGTCCAGAATGAAGTTCAGGATGAGTATGTCTTCAAGCACCTGGCAAGAGCTGAGTGGTGCAGAGCTTCATCTACAAGCCCTTCTCAGCATGGGAGTTAGCCGATTCCCCATTTCAAGAGCACGCTCAGTGGTAGCAGGTATGTTCACTTCCCAGACACGCGAGCTGTCCACAGTGTGGGCACACTCTTTGTCGCATGCTCAGACCTTACCATGAGACCTGTCCTCAATGCACAGGAAGCCCTGAACCTCGCAAGGCAGGGCTGGCAGCAGCACAGGAACTCTGAGTCCTGATGTGCAGATTCCAGCAGCAACCAGCAATGTTTCAAGTGGTCAGGAAATGGGGAGGCGGTTGGGAAGAGGACAATTCCCCAGCCTGGGGGAGCTGGCAACTGTCTACTCTACTACCCCTGTCCCCTGGGATGCAAAGGGCTGTGGTGCCTGGCACAACGGCTCAGTGGCTAAATCTTCACCTTGCATGTGCCAGGATCCCATATGGGTACCAGTTCATGTCCTGGCTGCCTTACTTCCCATCCTGCTCCCTGATTATGGCCTGGGAAAGCAGTGGAGGATGGTCCAAGGCCTTGGGACCCAGTATCCACATGGGAATCCTGGAGGAGGTTCTTGGCTCCTGACTTTGAATCAGCTCATGTCTGGCCCTTGTAGCCATTTGGGGACTAAACCAGCAGATGAAAGATCTTTCTCTGCCTCTCCTTCTCTACATAAATGTGACCCACCTTTCCAATAAAAATAAATAAATAAATAAAGGAGAGTGCTGTATGACTTAGGGAGTTAGGGCTGCCACTACTGCTGGGTCCAGCTGGATCAGTGGGAGGCACAGGATTGTTTGCTAGATGACAGAATGCAGACCCTGGGAAGGAGACACGAACCAGTTTCTGTCTCCAGGTTTAGTACAACCTCCAACAGCGATTCCCTCCCCCCGAGATGCTGCTACTCTGCCACAGCCCTGGCCCTGAGCAGTAACGCAGGGGACAATGTGAGTTTCTTCTCCAAAGCAAAGCGGTGCTGAGTTGTCCAGGGAGCAATCCTTGCTGAGCTGTGGTGACCATCTCCTGTCCGGCCAGGACTGGCCACGTATGGTGTCCATTGCTGCATAGAAGCTCAGCTGAGGATCCAGCTCAGCCTGCCCCTGCCACAGGGACTCCTTCTGGCCATGGCTGGCTTTGTTTCTCTCTCTAGGCCACTAAGCACAGTCTCACTATCCCAAGATGCCCCCACCTTAACTGTGTATGGATGTTCTTCCTCATGCACTCACTTTGAGATGCAGGGGCACTGAGTCATCTCAGTGGAAGAGGAGGAGGCAAGTGCTGGGCTTTGCTGTTTGGCCATTTTGAATCCCAAGATCTGACCTCTGTGAAAAAATAGTTCTCCCTCTCCTTATGGGACAAGGGAATATTTGCCACCATTGGCAGGCCCAAGAAGGCAACAGGCACAAAGCCCAGCACACTCATGGCCCATAACCAATGGTAATTTCTTATCCTCCACCAAGGTAGACATTGGAAACAGAACAGAAATCATTATCATATAAACTTATCCTTCAAGCACAACCAGGGGTCCTCAGTGCAAAGCCTGCTGTAAAAAGTGCAGGAAGATTTATAAGGAAGATGTCATGAAACTGGAGATGACCCAAGGAAAGGCAGCTAAAAGACCAAGAGAACAAGGAGACTGCCATGTAAGGAAAAGCTAAAGGCATTCCAAGTCTTCAGTTGAAAAAAGTAATGCCAGGGCCACTGCAGTCACTCTGAAGTAAGACCAACACATTATAAGTTTGAGCAAGAACAGGCTGAGCACACATTATCCTCAAAACTGCAAAATGCCTGCCCTAGAGGAGACATCCCAAGTCTGGGACACTCCTATGGAAATCTCACTGTAATGGAGATGCTTATGACACTCATTTTAGGGAGACCACCGGGAGAGAGCTGTGTGTATGTGATGAGCAAAAGCAAGTGTTAAGACCCAAAGCAGGCCAGGGTCCAAGCAGGTGGGAGACAATGTGGTCCACAGGGTCAGAGGCTCTCAGCAGTCACCCCGGCTCCTCCAAGCCTCCCCACCTGCTCCCTGACAAAACCCTAGTGAGTTAGAGTTCTTCCATAATGTGATGAACTCCAACTGAAAGTAAAAATACACACCAACCCACAAATATGAACCTATTTCAAGTTCAACCTACTGCAAGTTCCTGAACTTATTGCAAGTTCCTGAACCTATTGCAAGCTCAGGAACAGGATGCCAAAGGAGACAGGAACATTTTGCCTGTGTAGCCTCAACTACAGACCCTTGTGAGGGACAGCATCCAGTTTGGACACACAAGAGGTACAGTTGGCACCTTTCACACCAGTCTGCCAAGGATGACAATGACACTTCCTTACTTCACAGGAAGAGATGCTGATGCTAAAGGACACAGAGTAGCAGCTCCTGCATCCCCAGACATGAGTGCTGTGTCCATCACAGGACCAGCAAGACAGACCACGCTCAAGACCCAGAACAGCAGAATAGCACAGACACAACACGGGGCTGTCCCCAAGGGCAGTATAGGCTAGAGAAAAGTGGCTGGTTAACATCAGGCTTTAACATCAGGTTACGTCTGCTTCCTACCTCCTTGCTGGCTTACCATGGTTTCCACTCCATAGGCAGTGGAGCCACGATGCCCTCCCGTGCCAGCCACATCAGTTCTGGTTCCTTGGTGGGATCAATACCAATCTCTCTGGCAAATTCAAGAATTTCTGCAACATCCGTCAGGAGCGAAGGAAAGAAAGAGGAATGGTGATGTAACAGAAAGAAGAAAAAGTTAGTCCTTTTTTAATTTTTACTTTGCCATCATTCTCTAAATTTCCTTTGATGAGAAAATATTTAAATATAAAAAACACATATAGAAATCTTCATAAAGTTCATACAAAGTGTATATTATAAAAATTATGCAAGGATTTCAATTCCTTTTAAGATTTATTTATTTGAAAGGCAGAGAGAGATAACAAGAGAAATCTTCCATCTGATGTTTCACTCCACAAATGACCACAGGCTGGTGCAAGACAAGGTCAGGAACCGAGAACCCCAGTAAGATCTTATATAAGTGGCAGGGATCCAAGATTTGGGACATTAGTCCAAGGAACATTAGCTAGAATTGGAGCAGCAGGGACTCAAACAGGTGTGAGCTTAAACACCAGCCCCAACATTTAGCATTTTTTTTTTTTTTGCACCAGAATAAACTTATCTTTGAGTTATATTTCCACAAGGACCCTGCATGAAACGGTTTCCTGACATCACAATTTACAAAATACATGCAGCCTGGCATGTAGTTACCTCCCCCCTCCAACAGTATAATCTAAAGAAAGCTTAAAAACAAACAAAAGGCAAGACTCCATTGTGGTAGTCGCCTCAACAACCACAACCAGAACCACCCAGAGAAAAGGGCAGCCTAACCAGGAGGAGACAAGCACTCCCACGATTTCCAAAAGTATTTGTGGCTTAATCAACAAACACAGCCTGAGCAACTGCAGCTGAGCCTGCTGGGTGCCCCACAGACTTACAGGTACCACAGGAAGCAGGTGTACGTAGGATACGTGCTGCAGTGGGTGGAGACGAGAAGGATGTCCAGGAGAACACAGCGAAGCAGTGCTGAGTTAAGAACCGTCTCACCAGGGCCAGCACTGTGGTACAGTACTTAAAGCGGCCGTCTGTGACATCAACACCCCATAATCATGCTGGTGCAGGTCCCAGATGCTCCACTTGCTTTCCAGCTCCCTGCTAATGTACCTGGGAGGCAGCAAAAGATGACCCAAGTGCTTAGGCCCCTGCTAACTACATCAGGTTCTAGGCTCCCGGCTTCAGCTTGGCCCAGCTCAGCCATTACAACTTTGTGAGAAGCAAACCAGTGAGTCAAGGATCTCTTTCTCCCTCCCTTTCTGACACTCTTTCAAATAGATAAATCTTAAAAAAACAAAAAAGGAAAAAAAGAAAGAAAGAAAAAGAAACATGGTTCCATATGGTTCCATAGTGTAGCGGTTATCACATCTGTTTTACATGCAAAAGGTCCTGGGTTCAAGTCTCACTCAAACCACTGCTGCTAGTATTTGGGCCTGGCATGATGGCTTAATGGCTAAATCCTCGCACTGCAAGCACTGGAGTCCCATATGGACACCTGTTCATGTCCCAGCACATGAACTTGCCAGTTCCCATCCAACACCCTGTTTAAGGCCTGGGAAAGCAGTAGAGGATGACCCAAAGCCTTGAGACTCTGCACCCAAGTGGAAGACACAGAAGAATCTCCTGGCTCATGGTTTCATTCAGATAAAGCTCAGCTCTAGCCATGGCAGTCACTTGGGAAGTGAACCAATAGATGGAAGATTTTTTTCTCTGCCTCTCCTCTCCATAAGTCTGATCTACCTTTTCCAATAAAAATAAGTAAATCTTTTACAAAAGGAAACATGCCTACAGTTCTTAAACAGAAACACAATCAATAAAAACATTATTACTGTTAATTGTTATTCTTTATAAAAATCAACCAATACTGCTTTAGTTTGTTCCTAAGAAACTGGGTCTGCCCTGCCCCAGGACTCATGGTGAACTTCAATATTCCACACTACATCTTCACTTATAACTCACCGTCGCTCTAACTCAGGGTTAGCACAGTTTTTCTGGAAAAGGGGGTCATAGGATATCTGTCATAATTACTTACCTCCGCTGCCATAGCATGAAGGCAGTCAAAGACACAGAAGTAAACGGAGGTTGCTGCTTTCCAGAAAAACAGATTACAAAAACAGGTAACAGGCCACGGTAGGCCCATGTGAAATTGTTTGCTAATCCCTGATCCAACTCAAATATGTTAAGTAGTTTGGTGCTTGTACCATATCATCCACTGCAAGAACAAAACTCAATCAGGCACAATTCCTGCCCTCAAAGAGCCAGGACAAAATATCTCAGGCCTCTTACCTTGTTCGCTGGGGATATAGGTCTCATCGTAGTCTTCCTCCAGAATCAGTTGGTCCCCTATGCGGATGGGTGGGCCAGCCATTATTGGCCTGGGCTCGAACACCTGGACCCCAGAGACCACCCACCCAGAGAGAAAATTAGTGATCCAGCTTGGAAGGGTTAAAACTCGAGCTGGGTCATGGAGCACCTGGGCAGACCAAACCTTGCAAGCCAGCCTGGCTGGGGAAGGAAGGAGGGGATGGAGGGGGTAATCTGGGTGGAGGGTACAACCAGCAGTTCAGAACTCGGGTCTTGTGGGCTCTGCACCCAGAGCACTCACAAGATGCAAAAGTATGCCACACACTCAATGAGCTACCAAAGACTGCAGGGCCTTGCTCTCACAAGAGTGTGACTTCATGTCTCCCCATACAACAGGAGAAAAAGAGTTAGAGCATGTGCCCCTAACTAGAACACCTTAGGGACATTCAATAATCCAGCAGCACTCCCCGTGGCCTAGTCACACTCTCTCAGTGCGTCTCCCTCCTAAAGCCTGCATTCCCAAGTCCAAGCACAGAGGATGGGGCCAGGGAAAACCCTTTTGCTACCGCCACACTGAGGCAGAGCAGCAAAGGCCTGGTGCAGGTGCGGAGAGATGGACAAGAACTCTGACGGTGGAGAAAGGCCTCTGGGGCTGTGCAAGAAGAACCTCAGGTCTGCCCTGGAGCTAAGGGGAGTCCCAGAGGAATCACAGTGAAAAAGGCATGGAGGGTGGGGGCGGGAGACAGGCTTTTTACAGGACAAGAACTCTGGTAGGAGTAGCATGGCTGCGATGGAAAAACAAGGAACTGGTGTAAAGAAAACCACTTCTGGTGGTTGCCATTCAGGGGAAAGATGACGAGGGCTCACCTAGAACAGCAGCAATGGGAACCAGCAGGGAGGGACAGGGCATTAGCGAGGCTTAACAGGACCAGGACAAGGAGGAGAAAGCAAGCCGGGGCCCTCCTAAATTCACAGAGTAAATCCCTGACCTGCATTGTGACCAAGGAGGTCATGAAGGGTAAATGAGACTGCAGGGGAGGCCCTAGGCAACAGGACTGATGTCCACATGGCAAGAAAAAGAGACTACAGGTTGGTGCTGTGGGTTAGCAGATTGAATCACCACGTGCAACACCAGCACCCTACATGAGTGCCAGTTCAAGTCCCAGCTGCTCCACTTCCTCTCCAGCTCTGTGCTAACATACCTGGGAATGCAGGAGAAGACAGCCCAATTACTTAGGATCTTCCACTCAGGTAGGAGATCCGGAAGAAGCTTCTGGCTCCTGGCTTCAGCCTCTCCAGCCTTGGCTATTGCAGCCATTTAAAAAGTGAACCAGGGCCCAGCACAGTAGCCTAGTGGCTAACCTCCTTGCCTTGCAGGTGCTGGGATCCCATATGGGTGCCAGCTACACCACTTCCCACCCTGCTCCATGTTTGTGGCCTGGGAAAGCAGTTGAGGACAGGCCAAAACCTTGGGACCCTGCACCCATGTGGGAGACCCAGAGGAAGCTCCTGGCTTTGGAACAGAGCAGTCCTGGCTGTTGCGGCTGCTTGGCGAGTAAAACAGCAGATAGAAGATCTTTCTCTGTTATTTCCATCTCTCTGTATATCTGACTTTCTAATAAAAATAACAAATCTAAGGAGGACAGAACAAATTGGACAACTACCCCAGCCAAACAATGACCACAAATATCTGAGAGAATGGAGACTCTGAGGTCGACTCTGTCAGCCAACAGACAGTGAAAGGGTTCCCTCATCCTTGGATCGGCGAGATCGACAACATTTCAGAACTATCGAAACCACCTGGGCTGAACCTTCGGCATACACGCCACACTGGAACACTAGCTTAATACTGAGTGGCCATTCTCCATTCCTGGGTTCTGGAGTGGCTGGGAGGCTGGGTATGGCTTCTCCCCTTATCCCTCTCTACTCCCACCCCCCAAAACAAGAGGAGAAACAGAAAATTTGGAAACAATGATCACGCCTACTTTTCCCTAACTCTTGTTTCATCCCACTCTAATCAAATATGTTAACATCACCTAAAATTAAAAATAAAATAATAATAATAATTAATCTTTTTATAAGATTTATTTTATTTTTATCACAAAGATATACAGAGAGGACGAGAGACAGAGAGCGAGATCTTCTGTCTGATGATTCACTCCCTAAGTGAGCGCAATGGTCGGTGCTGTGCCGATCTGAAGCCAGGAGCCAGGAACTTTCTCCAGGTCTCCCACACGGGTGCAGGGTCCCAAAGCATTGGGCCGTCCTTGACTGCTTTCCCAGGCCACAAGCAGGGAGCTGGATAGGAAGTAGAGCTGCCAGGATTAGAACCAGCGCCCATATGGGATCCGGCATGTTCAAGGCGAGGACTTTAGCTGCTAGGCCAAGCCGCCGCCAGGTTCAATAATTAATCCTTTAAAAAAAAAAAGTGAACCAGTGAGTGGAAGATCTGTCTCTCTCTCTAAATCTGCCTCCCAAATAAATAAATAGGGGCTAACACTGTGGTGTAACTGCTCCATCAACCAACCCCGTATAGGCGCCATTTGTAGTCCTGCCTGTGCACTTGCCACCCAGCTCCCTGCCAATGTACCTGAGAAAGCACAAGTTTGGGTCATCTCTCTGTCTCTCATTCTCTGTAACTGTGCCTTTCCAAAAGAAAAAAAAAAAATCCAATAAATAAATAAGTATTAAAGAGAAAGATCAGAACTCTCTTTTTCTTCCAACTAAGATCACTACAAGAAGATGTTTATCTGCAAGACAGGAACCAGAAAGAGGCTTTGGCCAGGATTTCTGGCCTTCAAAACTACAAAGAAAACATATTTTCAAGTTCAGATCCTGTGATTCATGGCATTTTGTTAGGGAAGCCCAAGTGCCTAAGACAGCAGGAGTTTGGGCTAAATGCAAGGTTTCCAGCCACAGGGATAGGGTGGCACCAAACACTGCAACTGACAAGCCGCCCCAGATCTGCCTGCTTTTCCCACTCCTGATCCCACCATCACCTTAGCACAAGCACACCCCACTCTCATGCCTGGTAACACAAGGCTGGGCTGCCGCATGAGGTGGTTCCTACGGACAGCCCTGCTGCAAACAGCTCCCCACCCCAAGCAGAAACAGGCCCTTACTGCACCTGTTTCCACTCCTTCTTTCAGATGCTGTCAACGGTCAGCCTGCCAAAATGACCATGAACAGCCCTGTTCAAGTGCAAGACCCCAGCTTCAAAATTGGGTCAGGCTATACTGGGTTGGACAGCAACGCCCGCCAGCTAGCGCAAGCTGGAATGGGGGCAGATTGGCAGGGCCAGGCTACAGCACCTGCTGGCAAATGCCAAGGTGAGACAGGCCATGCCAGACTGGGCCACAGTACCCACCAGCACATGTGAGATGGGAGTGGGGGATGTGCAAGTCTGGTAGGGGAGTAGGGAGGACGCCCCTGCTAGGCCACTGCTCCTGTTAATGAGCAGGAGAGCTGGGACTGGGGACAGACCAGGCTGGGCAGGGCTACAATACCTGTTGGTCTACATGTGGACTGGGTTGGGTGGATAGCCAGGCTGGGTTAGCCGATTGTATCCATTGGTACAAGCATGAGCCAGAGTAAGGGCAGGCAGGCTGGGCTTTGCTGCAGCATCAGCTAGCAAGTACTGTCAAGCTAGACTGCAAAACCACCTGGAGTGCGCAAGACCTGGGACAGGGAATAGGTCCATTGGGGAGACTGTGGGCACCACTCTGATGGGCTGCAACTCCCACTGGTAAGCATGAGGACCAGAACTGGGGTGGATCTGGCTGGACAGGCAGTGGCAACCACCAGCACAAGTGTGGGCTAGAGGATGGAGTTCGTTGGGTTAAGTTTCAATGCTGGCAAGCACAGGAACCAGAGCTGGGGCTGGGCCAGCGGAGGTTTTGAGGGGTTGCTCTGACTGGGCTTCAGCTCCACTTGGTATATGTGAGAGCTGAACGTGTGGTGGACAGGGGTGGGCTGGGCCGCAGCACCAATTGGTTTGCAGAGGAAGAAAAACAGAACAAATTGATCAACTGCCCCAGTAAAACTTGACAGCAGACTTCTGGGTAAGTAGAGATTGAGATGGACAATGTCAGCCAATTGACCTTGGAAGGATTTCCTGATCCTTGGATATCAACACCATCTCCAAACTATCGAAAACACTTGAGCAGAACTCTCAGAACATGCTCCACAATGGGGACCCTGGGATACATTGGGTACTGGCGGGGCTGGGCATGGTCTCTCCCACTGTATCCTCCCCTACCCCAGAAAGAAGACAAAAAAAATGTGTGAACAATGGTTTTGCCCACTTTCCCGTGATCCTTGACCCTTCCCACCCTGATCAACTATTTAAACATCCTCAAAAAATAAAAATAAAAAAATTGATGGACTAAATGTTCAGGGGATGATCACACCTGGGGACTCTAAATTTCCTCCAAAATCCCTACAGGTGAGTTAGACCCATGGGACCTGTGTTGTGGTACAGCGGTTTAAGCTTCTGCCAGTTGGGTCCCAGCTGTACTGCTTCTGATTGAGCTCCCTGCCAGTGTGTCTGGGAAAGCACTGGGAGATGGCTCAAGTGCCTGGATCCCTGCTACCCACATGGAAGACCTGAATGGAGTTGCAGGCTGCCAGTTTGGCCAAGTGACCAAGTCCATTCATTGGGAACCATTACTGCCACCCTCTCTGTATCATGAAAGCTGAGAGGTGCACAATGGTAGTGTGCTGTCTGTAGGCTCACAGACACTGTTCCCTGCAACAGTCTACCAGACTGGAAGATAATCCAACTCTGCCTCTTGCATGCCCCTCTGGGCCACCTCTACCAAGGAGGAGGAACTCATTGTGCAGTCCAAAACACTGAAGTGGCAATCTGCTGATCCGAAGCATCGCAGCATCGTGAGGACACAGAGATGGAGCTTTCACACACAGCAAGAGTCCACGTAGGTGGCCAGTGCTAAAGAGCTTAGCAGAAAATAACCAGAAGCCAGGCCAACAGACGGGGCACACTGTGCCACTCACGGAAGGAGTCATCTCAAGTTTTCATCTTCTCATTAGAGAGAAGAGGGGAGGAGAAAAGAAATGAGCCTCCAGGCAGAGGACTCGGTGGCAACCCATACACCAGTGTGAGCACCCGCACTGTACCAGGAGCTGTATTAACCACTTCAAGGAATCCAAGAAAGTCTGCTGGGGAAAAACATTAACCACGCCCATACAGAGCTCCCCTCCAGCAAGCAGGAGACACATATAATCCCTGTCCTTGTGGCAAAAGATCCAATCAGCTAAAGACACAAGGGTCTCCACTTAACTACTAAAAAGGTCGGCAAGTATCAGGAAAATCTCAATTCACGGATCACCCAAATTTCAAACAAATCTTCCAGAAAAAAATAAATAAAACATACAAGTGGGCTGAATTCCACCAGGAACAAAATAAAATTGGGAGCTGGTGCCACAGTGTAATAGGCTAAGTCTCTGCCTGTAGTGTCAACACCCCGTATGGGCACTGACTCAAGTCTCAGTGATCCAGCTTCCTGTTAATGCACGTAGGAAAGTAACAGAAGATGGCCCAAGTTCTTGGGTCTCTGCACCAATGCAGGAGATTGGGAGGAAGCTCCCACCTCCCAGCTCCAGACCAGTCCAGCTCCAGCTATTGTGGCCTTTTGAGTAGCAAACCAGCACATGCTAGATCTCTCTCCCCTACCTTCGTCCCTTCCTCTCTATGTAACTCTTTTAAAAATTTTTTTATTTTATTTTTATTGGAAAGGCAGATTTACAGAGAGAAGGAGAGACAACGATCTTCTATCCACTGGTTCACTCCCCATGTGGCCACAATGAACAGAGCTCAATCAATCCAAACCAGGAGCCAGGAGCTTCTTTCAGGTCTCCCAAGTGGGTGCAGGTCCCAAGGCTTTGGGCCATCCTCAACTGCTTTCCCAGGCCACAAGTAGAGAGTTGGAAGGGAAGTAGAGCAATCAGGATACAAACTAGTGCCCATATGGGATCCTGGCTTTCCAATAAAAATAATTTAAAAACAGGGCTCAGTGCAATAGCGTAGCAGCTAAAAATCCGCACCTTGCACATGCCAAGATCCCATATGGATGCCAGTTCTAATCCTGGGGATCCTACTTCCCATCCAGCTCCCTGCTTGTGGCCTGGGAAAGCAATGGAGGATGGCCCAAAGCCTTGGGACCCTGCACCCACTTGGGAGACCTGGAAGAGTCTCCTGGCTCCTGGCTTTGGATTGTCCCAGCTCCAGCCGTTGTGGCTGCTTGGGGAGTGAACCATTGGACAGAAGATCTTCCGTTTTGTCTCTCCTCCTCTCTGTATATCTGCCTTTCCAATAAAAATAAATAAATCTTAAAAATAATAACTCGCCCAAGGTTCCATAGCTAGTAAATGCTGTAAAAGAACACATCTCACTCAAGAACCTGAAGTTCCCCTATTCTGGTACAACCAGAGCCCAAATGACAGTGGGGGGGTGGGGAGGGAAATCCAGAATGGAAAACCAGGAACACATGACAAAGGGTTTACAAAAACTGAGAAACTGAGGCTGTATCCTGTAAATAATAAGAGGTCACAGAGGATTTCAGAAGAGACAGGTATGACCAAAGGTCACATTAGGAAGACAACCCCAAGGGCGGGGGAGAGGGGTATAGTGTGGTGCCACAGCGGAATGACAGTGTCCTCTGGTTCACATCCCAGTTGCCGAACTTGTGATCCAGCTACCTGATGGCATACCTGGAAAAGCAACAGAAGACAGCCCAAGTACCTAGGCCCTGCCACTTCACTGGGCGGAGCTCCTGAATCCTGACTTCCACCTGGCCCAGCCCTGGCTGCTACAGCCAAAGGCACAGGGAATGAACCAGCAGATAAGCACTCTGTTTCTTCTCACACCCACCACCGCCTTTCAGCTAAAAGGAAAACAAATTTTAATTTTGTTACTGGATGCACACGGTCAGAGAGAGAAATCAGTGCCTTTCAGCCAGAATAGGGTGATCATCCACCCACATCTAGGCCTCGCCCACTAAGCACCCACCTAGCACACTGCTGAACAGACAGGACATGCTGGCCGCGTCTATTAGATGAATGAATGAGCGACTGAAGCCCTTCACTGACACAGGCAATCCAAGAGGCACAGCTGCAGGGGTAGGGGAGGGTTAGAGACGGCTGCTTAGGCCTGAGCTCAAGAAAGAAGTGCTGCTGGACAGTCAGGGGAGTGTCCCCGCTAGGCAGGTGGGTGCTGCAGTCCTTGGTGAAATCACCTAGCCATGGAGCACAGGGAGCACAGAGCCCGGGCTGCGAGGATCTGAGGGGAGAAGGCGGACAGGGTTTCCCGGTGGACAGGCAGGTTTTCACATCAGAGTCAGAAAACAAAAAAGCGCTGCAACTTCCCCAGCCCACCAAAAGATGGCATAAAGTTGGGCCCCGGGCTGGGACACGGGGTGCATTCCCCACGGAGGTGGAGGAGGCCGGGCCTCCACGCTACCGGTGAGGGCCAACCAACGCCCGGCGAGCTTGCACGGTTACGGGCGCCCTCCGGGCCGCGCGCGATTCGCGCGGAACCTCCCCGCCGGCCGTCCAGCGGGCGGGCCTCCCGCCCTGGCATGGGCAGCAGATGCACACCGGTCCAGCCGCTCGTCCGCCACTCTGTCCTCCCGACCCGACTCGCTCGCGGCCACGACGCCCCCGTGACCCCGGCCCTCCCTTGGGGAGGTGCTCACCTGTACCCCCCACCCCGGGAGGCTCTGGACGACGGCTCCCGGGTGTGCGCAGCGTCCCCAGCACCACCCCGGCTCCCCGCTTCTAGGGACGCCGGGGTGTTGCCCTGCAGTGGCTGACAACCACTTCCGGAAAGGATACCAACCTAGCAACGCAGGATCCCGCCCCCTCTCGGAGCTCATAGGTCGCTCCGTGAGACTTCTGGCGTTGGATTGGTTCGAGGTCTCCCCGACTGACGCAGGAGTTCTGTCAGCTTCCCGTGGCACAATGGGAGATGTAGTTCAAGAGAGCTGATGGGGTTCTGCTAGGGGTTCAAAGAGGGCCCTGAATTTAGAAATGAGGAAGATTTCTTCCAAGATAAGGAAGCTCCTTTCGACATATTTGTAGTGAGGCAGTTTATTGGTTATCACGTTGTGCCTGTAGTTAATATCGGGTGACTAATCCAATGATCATCACCAAGCAATCCTGTCATTGATAAATGTGAAATTAAGATTATGGAATCCAGCTGCCCTCGCCAAAAAAGAAAAACAAACAAACAAACAAAAAGTGGTTTTTCCTATTCTCTGATGAGCTCAGTGGTCCCAAGGCTCTGGGCCGTCCTCAACTGCTTTCCCAGGCCACAAGCAAGGAGCTAGATGGAAGTAGAACAGCCAAGACAAGAACTGATGCCCATTTGAAATGCTGGTGCTTAAAGGGGAAAGATTAGTGTGCTGTGCTACTGTGCTAGCCGTGTGTGTGTGTGTGTGTGTGTGTGTGTGTGTGTGTGTGTGTGTGTGTTTACAAAAACAAGTCACATGGTAAGAAAGGAACTGGTTGGGTCTGGTGCAGTAGCCTAGTGGCTAAAGTCCTTGCCTTGCATGCCCAGGATCTCATATGGGCGCCAGTTCTAATCCCCACAGCCCCACTTCCCATCCAGCTCCCTGCTTGTGGCCTGGAAAAGCAGTTGAGAAAGGCCCCAAATCTTGAGACCCTGGACCCATGTGGGAGACCCGGAAGAGGCTCCTGGCTCCTGGTTTTGGGTCAGCTCAACACTGGCCATTGCGGCCACTTTGGGGAGTGCATCAGCAGACAGAAGATCTTCTTTGTCTCTCCTCCTCTGTGTATATCTGACTTTCCAATAAACAAATAAATCTTTTAGAAAGAAAGAGAGAGAGAGAGAAATAAAAAACAAGGAAGGAAGGAAGGAATTTGTTAATCCTGTCTTTTTACAGTGTGGAAAGACCTGAAAGGTCCTTTGGACTTTGATCGACACATCTGATTTAAGACTAAAAACTGCCCTTCCACCTGCCTCCTCTGCTTTATTTTTCCCCCACAGCACTTAATATTATCTGAAATGCTAGCATTTTTCTTTCTTTCTTTTTATTAACTCTTTGTTAAATTTAATTGTATTCTTTGGTAAGCAGAGACAGAGCTTCCCAGTGCTGGTCCGATCCCCAAAAGCCCACAACAGTTGGGACTGGTCCAGGTGAAAGCTAGGAGCCAGGGACTTCATCCAGGTCACCAACGGGCATGGCAGGCTCAGCCACCGCAGCCTCCCCGGGTGCACACTGCCAGGGACCTGGGAAAAGGAGTGGAGCCAGGATCAAACCCAGGCCCTAGGATACAAATGAGGCATTTTAATCTCAAGGCACAACATTCACCCAAGGATGTGATTTCTTCATTATCTCTTTCTTTGCCTTAGAAATGTAAACTCCAGACTCTGCATGATAGCCTAGTGGCTAAATGCTTGCCTTGAATGCACCAGGATCCCAATATGTGTGTTTGTTTGCGTACCCGCCTGTTCCACTTCCCATCCAGCTCCTTGCTTGTGACCCAAAATAGTAGATAGCCTAAAGCTTTGGGACCTGGCACCTGCATGGGAAACCTGGAAGAAGCTCCTGGCTCTTGGCTTTGGATGGGCTCAGCTCTAGCCGTTGCAGCCCTTGAGGAATGAACCAGTGGATGGAAGAAATGTTTTTTTTTAAAAAAGCTAGAAGATCGTACTTAGATAGTATTATTTTACTATCTGTGAAGTTGACCTTTTGTTGTCTATTGGTCACCTGAATGTCTTCTTTGATGATGTATCTGTCACATTGTGTGGAATTTGTAACTGACTCGTAGGAGTCCCCTGTATTATAGACAATAACCACATTAACTCTACATCTCTATTGTACACACATGTGGCTTATTTCCCTACATTGCAAATGTCATTTTCCCAGTAGGTATAGTAACACTATGTTAGCTAGCCTTTCCTGGAAATCTCCAATATGCCAGACACCATCGTAAGTGTAACATTGATTTCTTTTTTTCTTTAAAGATTTATTTTTATTATTATTATTTTTTATTGGAAAGGCGGATATACAGAGAGGAGAGACAGAGAGGAAGATCTTCCGTCCGATGATTCACTCCCCAAGTGAGCGCAACGGCCGATACTATGCCAATCCGAAGCCAGGAGCCTCTTCTGGGTCTCCCACGCGGGTGCAGGGTCCCAAAGCTTTTTGGGACTGCTTTCCCGGGCCACAGGCAGGGAGCTGGAAGGGAAGCGGGGCTGCCGGGATAGAACCGGCGCCCATATGGGCTCCCGGGCGTGCAAGGCGAGGACCTTAACCACTTGCACCACCGCGCCGGGCCCCAACATTGATTTCTTACATTTACAGGTCTATACCATTATGATCCCCGCTTTTACAAACGAGAAAATGGAGACACAGAAAGGCTCAGCAGCCAGCCCAGAGCCATCATTGGACTAATGGTGATTCTCCAGAAGTTTTGAATCTTGAAGAGGTCAAACCTGTCTAGGATTGTGTTGCTCTTTTAACTTCCTGTGTTCTGTGGGGCAGGCCTTGTTTAACAAGAGATTATGAAAAGAGTCCTGCATTTTGTTTCTGCAGTCTTAGTTTTAATGTTGAGATCTTAGGTCCCTTTGGAGTTTATTTTTCAATAAGGTGCAGATTTGGTTTTCTTTCCGTTCAACTGGATTGCCAGTGGCTATGTCTACCATATTCACAATGCACATGCATCATTGATCTATTGATTTTTATATTTTTACTTCATTTTGAAGATTTTCTCACCACACCAGATCATCATATAACAACTTCTTTGCTTTCCAACATCTTTAGCACCCGTTCCACTTTCTTGTCTTACTGAGTTAACCAGGCTGAGCCAAGCTTTGCGTGGTAAGAATGTTGAAGGTAACCTTCCCTTTCTGGAGACAGACTACTGCGGGAATAACTTCAGCCTGTTACAATTAGGCATTCTATGATTTTCTGCTAATCATGCTGAAGTCTTTATCGCAAAGACTACTGAATCTTATCAACGGCTTTTCACATTCAACGGATAACGCATCAAATAGACAGTGATCCAATGGCTTTTCTCCCTTGAGCCCTTGGAGTTCTCAAGCTTGTCAAGTTAAGCTCTTCTTCCAGTCTGTTCCAGACACGTCCTGTAGTGATGACACTCTAAAGCTGTCAGCAACTGTTTATACTGAGGGCAGAAGCTTGGGGGGAGGGGGCGGGGATGGGCAGAGGACATCCTGAGGAGTCATAATTAGTCTGCCCAGGACACCCTACGGCCCCCTTCTATCCTGCTTCCTCCCTTCCCAGAGATGCCCCAGTGTCCCCTTAAATGCCTTCTCCACCTCAGGCACAGTCTTTTCTGTGGAACCCCACTCTGGCAACATTCAGTTCGCCCAGAGGGCGCCACTTAGGGTGCGTGTGCATCGTCTTTCTGCAGCCGCAGAGCCTGCCGGTGTGTCCGGCATACAGCGGATGCTCCATCAATGTGGAAAGGACTGAAGGCTAGCTGAGGAGGCAGGCGGTCAGGTTACCAGAGCAAGGGGAGAGGGAAGAGGGAGGAGAGACACCTTTCCCGCCAGGGTCCTGCAGGGTGGACTCCTCCTCGGCAGAGGGCACCGCAGACCCCTGTGCAGCTCCGGAAGCTGGGCTGTCTGCCATGGGAAGACTACACTTCCCAGCGATCCCAGGGAAAAACGAAAACCCTTTGGCTTTGACAGCCGCCGCCACAAGTCTTTCCGCCTCCCCAGGCTGCCTGGGAGGTGGGAGCTGGGTTATGGTGGCCTGAGCAGCCGACGCAGCCGCAGGCGCCCGGAGCCTCTGCCCCGACCACGCCGCCCAACCCACTGGGAGGACCAGAAGAGGAGCAGCGATCAAGCTGCCATGCCAGCCCCTCCCAGCCCCTCGAGGGGCCTGAGCCCTCCGCTGGGGCTGGCCACCGCCATCCAGATGTAGCCGGTCTCTGGCTCTTCTCTCCTGCTCTGCGGATTTCTCCTGCCTGTTCTCCAGTGCCTGAACCCAGGGACCGGCTGAGGGGTCGTATAGGCTCTGCAGACCTGATGTCTCCAAGGCCCCTCTCCTGAGAAGCCACCAGCATCACCCAGACTTGGGAACACGCAACAGGGACAGGTGTGGGCCCTAGCAAGCCCTGAAGACCAGGGCCCACCATGGCCCCAGCCCTGCCCTGGCTCCTGCTGTGGATGGGCTCCGGCGTGTTCCCTACTCATGGCACCCAGCATGGCATCCGGCTGCCCCTGCGCAGTGGCCTTGGGGGAGCCCCCCTGGGGCTCCGATTGCCTCGGGAGACCGAGGAGGACCCAGAGGAGCCAAGCCGGAGGGGCAGCTTTGTGGACATGGTCGACAACCTGCGGGGCAAGTCGGGTCAGGGCTACTATGTGGAGATGACCGTGGGCAGCCCTCCACAAACGGTAAGATGTTTGGGGAGCTGGGAAGCGGGGAGGGAGGCAGGACGGGAACACAGCAGACCGTTCCCCTCCTGGTAGGTACAGCAAGGACATCTTCCCTCTCTCCCTCCCCACCGCACCCCCCCCCCCGAAAAAACCACCTTACCTCGGGATCTTGCTGCCAGAAGTTGTCTCCAAGCTCCCTTTTCCCACCTCCCCGCCCCTGCTGGGCTCCCTCTGACCGACCCCCCTTGTCTGGCTGTGTCCCTCACCCCTGAGCTGACACACCTTACCTCCTGGGCAAGTTGCTGGGTGACCTGACCCACGTGGGGGGAAGGGTCCAGGCTGCAGGGGTGCTCACTGTAACAGGTGTTGAGCCCCTTGTAGCGCTGCTCTAGTCTGGGTTTCCCTCGTTCCAGTTCCCAACCCTCTCCCATGCTCTGGTGTGCCGGAAAATCTGGTGTTCCCACTATTTAGTTCCTTGAGGACCCAGCAATCCTGGCATTGTTTGATACACCGTTCCTCCTTCTCCTGCCTGGGCTGGGGTCGCCTTCTTCCCGCCCTAACTCCACAGCTCAGTAACCGCTATGCAGGCTCTAGTCTTGCTCTGGCCCCTCTCCTCCCATGCTCTTCTCTCCCTCTGTCTGCCTCCCCATTTCTTTTCTGCACTCCGACCCCTCCCCCACCCCAGGCCTCCTAGCCCCAGCTGGAGGACAACTGAACTGAGCCTGGGGAAAGGACAAAACTGCAGGAAATGACAGGGGTTCCCTCCCCTGTGGCAGCAGCAGGGAACGCATTGCCCACTGTCCCATCCTTCCTGATGGAGGTTGTGCCCCTTGCACCCAGGGGGTAGTCATGGGTGTGTGGGCTGGCACAGCTCTCCCGGGGAAGGGGTGTCTGGCTGTGTGTCACTCTGCATCTGCTTGCTCCATGGGTGAGTGTGTGTGTGTGGTTCTGCCCATGCTGGTGTATGTCACCTTGAACCTGATCCTCCACGTCTCTGTGAGTCGCCCCAGCTCTGCGTCCCTGCCCCAAAAGCCTGCCCCCATAGGGTCGGTCTAGAAGGCAGTGGAACCAGGGTGGGGGTGTGCATGGGAAGAACCCCTCTCGCGCAAACACAGACAACTCCCTAGTACCTGACAAACACTGGCCTTCCTAGGTTCATGCTCCTCAAGATCCTGGTCTCCCCAATTCCTCCAGCTCAACCTGGGGTGGGGGTGCCCCAGGAACAGTCACAAACATGTGCATGTGGAGGTCAGGTTGGAGCCTTCATTCAGCACTGAGCAACCTGAGTGAAGGGAATAGCAGGTGTTGCCAGGCAATAGCACCAAGAAGAGGCTTGGGGAATACTCCTGTGTCTGCAGATGCTCATGGATTTGGCAAACTGCAGGCCCTGTGAAAGCCCAGCTCCACCAACTGCAGCTTCCCCCGTGTCCACTTGTGTGGCCTGGGGCAGGTTGCAGAACCACCCAGGGGCTCCTGCCTCATCTTCTGCATAAGTGAGAGATCTCCTTTGGAGGTAGCAGTGAGGGTTGAAAGAGACTTAGTTGTGAAACACCTAGAACCTGGCACCTGCAGGCATCACTGAATTTCCCTATCTTGTGATCTCACCTGGCCCCCTTGGGCTATGCAATGAAGCCTATAAATTTGGAGCCCGGGGCCTCCAGGTTTTTCCCAGGTACACTGGAGCAGCCCAGCAGAGTGTTGCCCTGTGGACCCTAGCCCCTTTTGGGGTGACTTGGATTCTCTCCCCAGAGTTCTCTGAGAAGCATGCCCTTTCTCCCCACCTGCAAGGCTAGTGTAAGTATCCAATGAGAATAGGACGGTAGAGGGCTCTGAGCAAGGAAAAGTGAAATTTAGAGAGCACTTCCTACATTTGGGGGCTGAGCCATAAGAGCAAAATGCAGGCCCGAGAGCAAGGTCATCCTTAGCAGCAGTCACACACAGCAGTACTCCCAGAGCCTGAGCGCAGAAGCCTGGCCAAAGTGTAAATCCTCTGGTCCTACCCTGGAAGCACTGAGCCCCACTCTGTCTTGACTTTCCAACCTGCAGTAGAAGCTATAATTGTTTAGATGGGAATTGATTAATCCAGGAAGGCTTCATGGAGGGAGTGATCTTGAAGAATGGCCAGGAGTGTGTGGGGGCGAGGGAAAGGGCCCCCTCTGCACAGTGTTGGAATCATGCCTTTCTTAGATGTCTATGCCTGCTCCTTCCTGCCCAGACCAGGAGGGGCCACAGTGGCCGCTGGAATGAGTTACATGTGCAGGAGGCAGAGGAAAGCCAGTGCAGTCAGTAGTAACGATCCTCCCAGGTAAGAGCCAAATAGTCAAAGGCCTTGAATGTTGAGCTGTGAGGTTCAGACTTCGGTCTGCAGCTCCAAAGGAGGAACTTTCAGTCAGGAACATCTGAATTTTAGAAAGAATGTGAGTGAGGGCTGGGAGCTGCAGGAAGTTCTGTCTGGATGGTCCAGCTGTGAGGCACAATGAGACTCCAGGGGGAGGGAGCAGAACACCTGGGTTGAGGGAGGTTGCCAGGTGGAAGAGCAGGACCTGGGTGGAGCAGAAGCATGCCAGGCGGCTTTGAGGGAGAGGCTGCAGGAGGGAGCTGTGTTAACGCCCTGGATCCTAACAAATATGTGTCTGTTGCAGCACGTAGTTTCTTTTTATGTATTCTATCTGCATTGTTTTGTTGTTTCAGTAATGCCTGCCATATCAGGTCTTTATTATTCATAGTTTCTAGCAAAAGAAGTGAGGTCTGAAAGATTAAACAGTTGGCCAGGCTGTCTGCCTACTACGCTAGTATCTTGGGGAAGAAGAAAGTTTTATCAGGAACATCTCTCTTTTGATCATGCATAGTAACTCCCTCACTATGACTGTATCTTGCATAAATCTCCCTAGTGTCTCATAATTCTTTTTTTGTGTTTGCTGCCCTCATCACACTCCCAGCTCTTAAGGGCAATGCCTTGTTCTTTCATTTATTTATTCAGAAGTGTCTTGTTTCTCTTTGTGTTCTACTTTGTGACAATGGGAGGCTGAAGTCACAGCCCCTGAAGAATGTTGAGTGAATGGATGAGTAAGTGGCAGGACTTGCAAATAAAACCCTTGATGACCCACTGATGCAGAACTGGTGCTCCTGGAGGAAATCTTTATCTTTTTTTTTTTTTCTTTACCATTGCATTAAGATGATAGAAGCATCATTGACCAGACACAGGGTAATAATTCTTTCAAAGCAAACTCTGGTGGCAGTTGAGTCCGTTTAGGTGGTAATGAGCAGTTATTGCGAGCATACATGTGAGAAAATAATAATAATGTCATTGCCTAAGCCCTTGAAGAGCTTCTGGTTTGGTGTGTGACTCAGAAGTACAGACACCTAGATATCATACAAGGCCAAATGCATTTGGTTCAAGCAGAAGAATAATGGGTCTTAGAAGCATACAGAGAAAGGTGCTTATTTCTCCACAAGAGTTGTCCAAAGGTTTGCCGGACAAGTATTCGAATGTGGCCTTGATTGCTGAGAAAGCTAAGGGATGCTCCAGCAGCAGAACAGAGAAGCACAGAAGCTGCAGTTGCTCAGGGCGCTTTATGGCACAGTGGATCTTGGGGCTTAGGCTGGATGGGAAGAGAGGATGGCTAAAGCTCAATGTGCAGGAAGACTTGGATGAGCTAGTGTGTGAGACGGGGATCTGCCAGGCGCAGGGGCTTGAAGCAGGATGGTAGCCGTGAGGATGGGAAGCAAGAAACAACCTAAGGGTGCACCATCCAACCGCCTGTCCAGTGACCCCCTTGAGAGAGAAGGTGGGGCAATGGCTTCCTTCTCCCTAACCTCTCTGACTTCTGCTCATAGCATGAGCAATTATGACAAAAGAAACAAGCTTTGAAAGCCCAGACTGGTTTACCAAAATCCCACATGTGTGTTTCTGCTTTCATTATGCCAGACAGGTATGAGCATGCCCATGTGGGGAGAAACTGAGGCACAGAGAGCTGAAGTGGCTTTCCCCCAGCTTCTCAGCTAACAAGAGCTCAGCCAGGACTCAAATCCAGGTCTTTGAGTCTGAATCAGAATACTAGATTCATTTCTTTGTTCTACCATCTTGAACATGTTAGTTGAGTTTGGACCATCCCCATGGATGTAGGCTTAGCTTGCTATGGCACCAAGGCACCAGCCCCTCACTGAACTTTCTAGAAAGCTTTTATACTTTAAAAAAAATAAAAACCACCCTCTAAATTAGACAAAGAAAAGCAAAACCCCAGCTTCCACAAGGTGCTGCCCCATCTCTGCCACCATAGCTCTTCTTCCTGCCTGCTGACAGGCCTTTGCTGAAGTTCTCTGGCTGTCATATCACGTTTTGGTCTTCCCAGCTCCATAAAGGACAACATAGCTGGGAGTGGAGAGTGTTGAAAGGGTCGGGAGCCCTTCTAAGTATCTCCAATAAGGAGCTGGGCAGGAAGAGAATCCCCTCCCAAGGAAACCCCCAGCCCTGAGAAGAAACGCCTGTCAGCTGGGGCCGGAAGCTGTCTCTCCTGGGTGCTGAGCAGTGGAGAGTTCTGGGAAGGAGCCGGGCCACTCTCCTGGGACTCTGCAGGCTGGGCCCGCAGAACTGGAAAGCACTTGCTGGAGTAGGTTGGCTCCAAAGAGGGGAGGGACCTTGCACCTGAACCCCTAGCAGGATGAGTCTGTTCCCTTCAATGTGGTAGGGGTGGTAATGTAACTCCTAAGTCCTTTTCTCCCCAGACTCTGACAACATACACAGCCAATCGGCTGAGCTCCAAACCAGCCGTGCTCTTACTCCCGAGTTACTATCACCTGGGATTTTGCTAGCTAGCACGGAGAACGAGGCCTCCAACAGCTGCTATGAATTCAAGCACAGCCCACACGTCATGGCTGGGCAAAGGGAGCTCAGGACAGAGATCAGATCAAGAGAAACCACTTGCACCTGGGAGGGGGTTGGGGGACCCAAGTTAGACCCCAGGGGATTTGTTGTGTGACCGTGAAAGGCAGGTGCTTGTAGCTGTGGAAAGATCTGG